TAAGCATACTCAGATGCGCTTTTCCGCTGCCACTGTACTTGAGCCTTATGAATTTATGTAGTTACTGAAGAGAAATTCACTCCTGAAATATTTCATTCAAAGTCTTAGGAGGAATGGAGCAAAGTAAAATAGCGTCTAGTCCGTAAGAGCGACGACAAAAGAAAGAACGAATTTTATTTAAATAACTCATGGCTAACTTAGACCTATATTATTTCTACACTGCAGCTCTTCGCGTTGCTAAATGCACCGCTTCACACCTCCTCAACGTCGAAGAACTTCAGACCGATCATGGTTCAGAACTTCTCCAGCTTAACTCTCGCCAAAGGCTTCTCCAGCTTAACTCTCGCCAAAGGCTGTATGAATGTGTTTGGTTCGTCGGCTCCCTTCTTCGGATGTCAGCATGGCGATGCAGCTCTGGTTGTCCTCGTGCATCACCACTGGCCCATCGACGACCTCGCCTATGTCCTCCATTAGCTTCAACAGCCAGAGTAGCTCCTGACTAGACTCGGATAGCACAACGTACTCAGCTTCTGTAGACGACAGGCTGACACATTCCTGTTTCCTAGCGGCCCAGCTGATTGGACCACCTTCTTCTTCTTCTTCTTCTTCTTCTTCGCATTTCAAGCTTATTGCATATCGCATATTAGCTTATTGCGTGCTCTCAACTTAGTGTTCTAGATGCACTTCCACAGTTATTAATTAAGAGCTTTCGATGCTGTACCATTTTTGCATTGGTATAATTGTGTGGCAAGTCCAATCATACTTCTATGCCCAGGGAAGTCGAGAAATTTTCCTACCCGAATAATTCCTAGACCGGACTGGGAATCGAACCCAGCCACCTCCAGCTTGGTCTTGCTTTGTAGCTGTGCCTTTACCAACTGAGCTAAGGGAGGTCCCGATTGGACCACCTCCAAGCTTAAAAACGAACACGGAATTTGATTTTCCCAGCCCAGTCTGCATCCACAAATCCTTCGAGACCGCCAAGCTCAAGCTTCAAAGTCAGCTGTTGCGTTGGCTCACCGTTCGTCCCAGAATAGACGCAGCAATCGCAATATCGGATCTGGTGCATACCGCAACGTATAGCAAAGCACCGACCAGACTCTGGTAACGCTCGCCGGATGGCAAACACTCCTCCTGCTCCTTTTGCTTCACGTTTGGATACCCAGGATCCATGGGTATTTTCGATGGCTTCGCTTGGCCCATGTCAAACCTTTCAGCAATCTTCCGGATGTAAGCTGATTGGTTCAACAAGAAACTGCCGGAACACGTTTGCTTCATCCGTATGCCGAGGTAGTTGGTGACACCCCCAGGCACGTGAGCCTGAATCGTTTCGACAGGTAGTAGTAGATCCTCTCATATTCGTTGTTGTCGAGACTTACAAATAACATATCGTACAACAATATGAACGATAATTGATTATCGATGCGCCGAATGTAGAGGCACGGGTTTGCCTTGCATTGCTTGTACCCAAGCTGCTTCAACGTTTCCGTGATTTTCTGGTTCCAGATACGACTCGCTTGCTTCAACCCGTATATTCTACGCTTCAACAAACACACCTCCTCCTCAGATCCTACTTGATAGCCCATTGGTTGCTTCATGTAAATGGTCTCGGTGAGGTCTCCGTGCAGGTATGCTGACTTCACATCGATGTGCTTGACTTTCAGGGATCGACGAGCGGCAATCGTCAACAGCGTTCGAAGCGTAGTTTGTTTGGCTACTGGAGCAAAAACCTCGTCGTAGTCGGTGCCGAACTTCTGCCTGTAGCCCTGTGCTACAAATCGTGCTTTGTAGCGGATCACTCGACCAGACTCATCCAGCTTCTTCTTGAAGATCCATTTGCATCCAACTGGTTTTTGTTTCGATGGCAGCTTCACGATCTCCCATGTCGAGTTTTCTTGAAGGATTGCGAATTCCTCATCCATTGCCTTCTTCCACTCGTGGCGTTCCTGGCTGCGTATAGCTTCATCATAGGTACGGGGTTCATCGTGCTGATTGGACACTAGGCGGGTGGTTTCTTGATACCGCAACGGTAACACACCTTTGTTTTTACGGCTAGACCGTCGTACATCCTCCGCTTCGTCCTCGGTGGCAGTGTCAAAATCCTCTCCGGCGCTGAAATCGTCATCGGATACCGAAAGCTCCAACTCGAATTTATCGGCTGTAAGAACGGAAATAGGTTTGAAAGGATAAAAAACGATACTTCCCTCGTGAGGTTCGGTTTCCCGAACCTCATCTGCTGGAATGAACCTGGCATCTCGAGATACGACGAGCTTGTTCGTCGCTAGATCCGGGAAACGGTAGCCCTTGTGCTGTTGCGAATAACCGACGAAGGTCATTTTCGTCGACTTTGGGTCCAATTTCGTACGCTTCTCTTTTGGGACCCACACGAAGCCTTGTGATCCGAACAATCGAAGATGGGTGACGGCTGGTTTCTCTCCAGTCCACAGTTCGTATGGCGTTTCCGGCACGGCACTTGACGGCAAACGGTTCTGGAGGTAACACGCTGTGTTTACTGCTTCGGCCCAGTATTGCTTCGGCATTCTGGCATCAAGCAGCATGCACCTTCCCATCTCAACTAACGAACGATTTTTCCTTTCAGCTACTCCGTTCTGCTGGGGCGTGTGGCTGGTACTAAACTGCTGCCGAATGCCCTCTTGACGACAAAAATTATCTAGCTGCTCGTTCTTCGTTTCTCACCACCTCGAATTACTTTCGGTGACCTGCCGAACGTTGTCTTCATCTCCTGCACAGATTGCTTGATGTAATCAGTTGCTTGCGACTTTTTCTTCAAAAAATACACCAGCGAGTACCGCGTGAAGTCATCGGTAATCGCCATGAAGTAACGACAACCACCTGGCGTTGGTGTGTTCATCGGTCCGCATAGATCCGTGTGCACGAGGTCGAGTGCTGGCTTCGTTTTCGTTTTGGATTGCTTGGGGAAAGGGAGCCGGGCAAACTTGCCCTCCAAACAACACTCGCACAAGCGGTAGCCAGATTCTTCGATTCCAACTCGGCGACTGCTTCTGGGTCTCTGTGACCGAGCTTCCGGTGCCACGCGTGCTGACAATTTTCCGTGTAACTATTGCCGTTCGCCATATGGGTGATCCGAAGGATGTACAAATCGCTAGATACCGAGCCAAGAGCTATAACCTTGCTGCTGCCCTTGGAAATCCGACATCCTGCATCGTCGAAAATGACAGTGGCGCCGTTCTTCGTTGCAGATCGTACAGAGAACAGATTCGATTCAAGATCAGGGACAAACAGCGCATCATTGAGGGTCATACTGTTGATATTTCCTTCTTCACCAACGCACTGAATACGACACTTACCTTTTCCAGCCGATTTGGTCTTCATTCCATTCGCCAGCACGATGTCTTCGGAGACGGACTCGTCCAGTGACTCGAAAAACTCCTTGTTGGCTGCCATGTGGGACGTTGCGCCAGAATCAACCACCCACAAGTTGACGTCACTGCCTATGGTTGCCATGAAAGCATACTCGTCGGAACCGCTTTGAACTGCTTTCGCCTTCGTAGGTCTGCTGGATTGCTTCGAGTCATGTTTCTTTGGTGGTTCTGCATCCTTGCTCTGGGCCAGCAAACGACAATCCTTCCAGAGGCAAACAATTTGCCTCTTCGTACCTGCCTTCAGTACCGAATGTGCACCACCGGCACAATTACGCTTCGCTACCTCGTCTACCAGCTTCGTCTTGACTAGGTCGAACGTTAGGTCAGCATCAGAACGGCTTTCCAGTGCCGTTGTAAGCGGATTGAAAGAATCCGGCATGCTTCGAAGGACCATCGCAACTTGCAAATTAGCATCCAGCACCTGGCCGGCTATCGACAGCCGTTCGAATAGATCTTGCATCTCGATGATGTGCTTGTCGATTTCCGATTTTCTTGAGGATGGATACCTTCGACGTGAGCATCGTACGCTCGTAGTTCTTTTTCAAGTTCTCCCACGCTTCCTTTGACGTAGTGGTGTCCTGGATCAGATTCCGTTGGCTATCGTCTACCAGAAGACCGATTGTAGCCCTTGCTTTCTGGTCACATTTTCGCCACGCCGCTGCTGCGTTCGCTTCCGTTTGCACTGGGCACGTACTCCCAGAGATCCTCTCGAACCAGCAACAGTTCAACTTTAAATTTCCAGCTGCTGTAGTTGCTTCCGTTTAGCTGTGGGACACCCAATTTCTCGATTGTGGTCATTTCCGGCTATGAAAAAAACGACGGAACACTCCCGAACGCGACTAACTTACGCACGGCGGAAAAAAATCACTCTGTTTATCGGTTTCTATGGTAACTTGCTGGGCCCATAACCTGGAATGGAGCAAAGTTAAATATCGTCTAGTCCGTAAGAGCGACGACAAAAGAAAGAACGAATTTTATTCAAATAACTCATGGCTAACTTAGACCTATATTCACCCCTATTCTGTATTTCGTTCGAAACGAAGGGTCTGACCCATTCGAGCTTGACGCAAAAAACCGATGATTCATTATCAAAATCAGTTCTAGAGCATTCCTACCTACAAGGGCACAGCTGGCAAATTCTCTGACTAGGTGCAGTTGATCGAATTAGAACTACTAAAACTCTTAAAAATAACCAACGGCGGTATCCGTCATTTTCCCTATCTACAGAATGGTCTTTCTAAATTTTCCCAACGGGAAACTTTGTCGCACCAGTTGAAAAGCATCTTTTCCATCCGGTCGCAAACAAGCGGCACTTCCCTCTTCCGATGTCTTCCTCTTTAGATCGATCGATCGATCGATCAAAGAGTACCCGCGCCGTCGTCGCCTTGAAAAATTTCCTCCCGACAACAAAACAGCCACAGGACCGCACTCTTCTTCAAACAATTCAAGCAGCCAATTAGCTAATTATAGTCCATTGGCACCGAATCGAAAATTGCCAAGCGCGCTAATCACACCTCACTATAAAAGTCGCAAGCCAGTGGCATCAGCACGGGGTGGGAATCTGTCATCACAAGCAGAACGAAAACAGACACTGATGATCAAATATCCTAGCAATGTTGGCGCCACGCTATTATTTATATCAATAGAAATGCCCGTCGAATCTTAACTTTACATCCTACAACCTAGAGCAAACCCTGCTTCTGCAGATCCAGATACACCTTCTTGCTGAGAATGTTTCCCCTCGAGTCCTCAAACTCCTCCTCGTTGGCCGGAACCCACATTTTGGAGAAAGTCTGCTCCTTAACCTTGTCCCACAGCAGCAGCGCATCCTCGATCTTGGTAATGTTGGCAAAGTGGGCCGTGTTGGGAATGCCCAGACAGCGCATCCCGTGCGCATGTCGCCACTCGGAAAAGTGATTCTGGAACGCCTTCGGCCCATTGTACTTGTAGTTACCGCATATTTCGCACTCGTACGTAAAGTGCAGCTGGTGCAGCTTGTACAACCAGTACGGGATCGGTTTGCCGTCGTAGCCCAGCGGGAGATTCTTCGGATTGTACGGAATTCCGTCATCGTCGTCGGATTCCACCTCATCCATGCTGTCCTCGTCGCTTTCGTCCAACGTGTAGCGAGCCTGCTTGCGCTGGAGGTTAATCTTCGTCTCGTAGATCTGATCGTCCACCAACTCCGCCAGTTTGGTAATCTTGTACTCGAGCAGAGCGATGTCCTTGTCCTTCTGGTTGTACATCAGACGCTTGTATTCGTTTTCCTTGTTTTTGTCCTCCTTGCAAGCGAACAGACGCTGGGCACGCTCCTCCAACGTTCCACCGCACTTCATACCCATGGCCTGTAGTAATAGAAAATCAATCAGAAATTCCCTTGCTTCCCACTACCAACTCCAAATCTCACCTGCAGAGCCGACTTCAACCGATCCAACCCCAAGTAAGTCAAATCCTCCCACTTGGAGAACTCATTCAAATTAATCATCGCATCTTCCTCCACATCCTTGCCGCGCTCCCACCCGGGAGCTTCACCATTCTTCCACATATCCTCAAATTGCAGCTCATTTCGCTTCACCGTGTGATCCAGCTCGAAGAACAACGGCCGACTCCTCGTTATGAAGCCATACAGGTAGTCGTGCAGCAACTCCAGATACTTCTTGTACTTAATATTCTTCTGCTTCTTCGGAACGTCCGAAAACTTGTTAAACTCCGACAGATAGGTAATGTAATCCACCTTGTCCACCGCCTTCAGATTGATATAGTTATCGAAACACTCGTGCAGATCCAAGTACTGTCCGTAGTTCTCCACATCGCTAAACTTAACCACCTCGGCCAAGTAAGCCGGATCGTTCAGCTGCTCGCGCAGCTTAGAAAACTCAATCGACGCCGGAATGGCCACATTGTTGCCATGATTCTGGTGGAACTCCACCAGCGAATTAAACTGACTGTAAAACTCCTTGAACTCGTTCACACTCATGTTGGTAATTTCCTGCTTCCGCTCGCCATCCTTGTCCTGGTACAGCTCCAGCAGCGACTTGCTGCAGCTCTGGTACCGCTCCAGGTAGATCTTGATCCGATGGTCGGCCAAAACCTTTTCCTTCGTCTGAATTTGTAAACAAAAATCAACATTCAGTAAAACAAACAAACAACCACCCCCGGAAGTGCGTCGCGGGGGAAAAACAACTACTTACGGTTTTCTTCGGCGTTTGCAGCTCCTCGGACATGGCCATCACCAGGCGGTCGCATTCCTCGTGTAGACGGCGTTGAATTTCGAAAATCGTTTCCATTTTCCGGCGATTTCACAAAATTTACAACTTTATTTTCACGAAAACAAGCACGAACAAATGCGATGCAAACGATTTGGCAGTCCGACCTCGAGTGACAGAAGGTGGTGATTAATGCGATGCGAAGCGAAGCGAGCGCGTGAGTCGTGAGATGGTGGATGGTATCCAATTAGTGAGCGGGAGAGAATGAGACGAACTTCGCTCTCTCGGTGTGGAACGCCACGCAGGTTTCAAAATAGTAAACTAGAAACCTTCGAGAGGAGGCACTGTGGGAGAAATAACGAAATATTCGGCTGTATTTGGGCGTTCCGACTTTTTCAACTAATTTTTGATTTGATAACGATTTGATTTCCACTGCATTCATGAACTGACGACACTCTTTCCGGTTCTTTCCCTTTCCAGTCGTCTACGCCGATTACGCTTCGTCGGGTCGTTCACTACAGTTCCTAGAAGACTACATCAACAAGGAAGTCCTGCCAGCCTTTGGCGATACCAATTGCATATCAGCCGTCACGGGCCTTCAGTCGCATCTCTACGAGTAAGTACCAAAGCACCCCTTTGTGGATTTGTTCAACACTGCAATCTGTTGTATCGCTTCCATTCACAGCAACGAAGCCCGCGATCTAGTCCGAGCAGCGGTCGGCGCCATCGTCGAAGATGAAGTCGTCTTTTGTGATAATCCAGCCGAACGGCTCTGTTTCCTTCTATCGAACGCTACTACCAGTACAACCGGCCCCAGTTGCAATCAGCCGACCACCTCACTACCACCGGTCCTGTTCGTGAGCACATCGGAACCGGTTAGGAATCTCAAATTATGGATCGATGCCGGTTGGCACGTGGAACGGATAATCAAGAATCACGAGGGCTTCCTGGATTTGGTGGACTTGGAGAAGCGTCTGATGCAGTACTCGGAGTCCAAACGGATGATGGTGGGTCTATTTTCCGGGGCGTCTCGACTGACGGGGATTTTGGCGGACGACGTGGCAACGACGATTCTGCTCCATCAGTACGATGCCCTGTCCATTTGGGACCACAGTATAGTGGCTTCGTGTGCGCCGATCGTCACGAACCCGATTCTGCCGGGAGCGAAGAAGGATGCCATATTTTTCCACTGCAGTCGGATGGTGGGTGGAGTTCAAGCACCGGGGGTGCTGGTGATCAAGAAGAAGCTGGTCGAGAACTCGGTCGCATTTCTACACCAGACGGTCGGGGTGGTGGAAGCCGTGAGGGCAGGTCTCGTGTTGCAGTTGAAGGAATCGTTGGGCGTTCAGGCAATTATGAATCGCATGGAGAAAATCTGCAAACAAATACTGGCGCATGTGAGGACGATCCCGGAGATAACGTTGCTGGGACCTCCGTGCACTACGGCAAAGCGTCTGACGACGCTTTGTTTCATGGTTCGTCATCCGCGGGGGGCTTTTCTGCATCATCGCTTCGTAGTGGCCGTACTGAACGACGTATTTGGAATTCAGGCCACGGCGGATAATATGATTTCGGATTCGCTGGGGATAAATCCGCAGCTGGCTGTGGAGTACGATAAGGTTTTGAATGAAGAGTCGTTGAAGGCGGCCAGTATCCATCCGGGGTACATTCGAATAACGTTTCCGTATTTTATGGCCGAAGCAGAGGTAGGTTTCATACTGGAAGCGCTGAAGATGGTGGCAACGGAAGCGTGGAAGTTGTTGCCACAGTACGATGTAGAGGACCGAACTGGGGAATGGAGACACCATTCAAACTCGCTGGCCAAGGAACGCAAGTGGCTGGGAGCGATTCGTTACATCGACGGGAAGATGCTGTTTTCCGATAGGAGAATCTCCGGACCCGGGATTTTTCCGCAGAGTTATTCGGACTGTCTGCAGACGGCACGGAATCTCTTCAATCGAGCTAGGAAGATGGCGCAAAAGTCCGCATCGGATGAAATTGTTCTCAAGTTGCCAAATGTGTCGGTGGAGAAGCTGCGATGGTACATGCTGCCTGGAGAGGCCCATGAACTGCTGCTAGGCCATTCGCACAGCGTCAAGAATACAGTGCCATTCGATCCCACCAGGAGTAAGTGCCAAGGTAGTGGTTTTGAGTATTTGAGTTTGCTAACACTGATTGTTCAGTTCCAGAGAATCCCTCGCTGTTGATGATCCACCGTCATCACAGTCTATCGGCGCTGGACATCAAGCGATTCAAGAGTCGTAGTCTTCCCGCATCTCCGCTGCAGGTGACCATCCGGAGGCAGCACTCCAGTTCGCCGCACCAGTCGCACAGTCCAACGCCGACACCCACTTCGTCGCCGCCGATTGTTCGATTCTCACTCGGAGGTGAAGTCAGCAGCTACAGTCCTCCGCAGCAGGTGACGAATCTGATCGCTCACGACACCAGCATCAGCCGGAATAGGTAAGTTGCGTCCGAAACCTGGACAACCGCATGCGTGTGACTAAACAGTTTCAGGCACAGCAAAATAGCCGTTTTGTTTTTTTGACTCGCAATCAATTTATCTCTATTTTTTTTAAACAATGCAACCACTCAAATTGCGCTTCTGTGGTGCACAACGCAGATGCAATAGCTGGTGTTCCCCAACGAGCTCGGCAACAACTTGCAGCCCAACCGACAACGGTAGCCTCACTAATCTTGACTACAGCGCTGTCAATGTCAACGACGACGGTGCTGCTGGTCTTGATTTCTTTGGCCCTCAGACTCGAAACAGTCTGGGGTTGGGCCAACATCAGCGCCGACAATCGCAGGCGGCGGTAGCGACGACGACGACGACGATGACCACGATGGTATTGGAAGCGCCGCTGCCGCCACCGCCGTCTGCTCCTCGAGTAGCGGGGCGACCGAAGCAGCGATCTTGTTCCTGCAGTAGCCAGACGGATCTGAGCATCGGATCCATCGAGAATCTAGCCACTGCATTGGCCGCTTCGCCCGCACCCAGTCTTCCGAATCTGCAGTCGTTGCCATTGGGAAGGTTAGAGCGGTTCTTCGTCTATGAGTTTTCTGGCTTTATTTCGCTCCATTATCATCTCTTTCCTCTCAGTAGATGTACTGTTAAGAACCATAAGAAATGACCGTAGTTCTTAAGTAGCACATTTTTTGTTTACTCAGTAAATCCAGCTGCCTAACTGCATTGCTTTTTGTCCTTGCCTGTGTTGACGTGCGTTGTTTCGAGCGTAGAAAAGTTAAACCGAATTCTTGTGATGTTTTGCAGCAGTTGCAGTGAAACTGCCGAAGATATCCAGGCGTACGTGAAGGAAGTAACCAAAGAGCTGGCAACCGAAATCAAATCCGAAATCCGAGACGTCATCTCCAGAGTGGAAGATGCTCTGGAGAGTACCGATAGTTTGGATATGAGCGGTGCCAATTTGAGTTCCCTGGGCAATATGAGGTGGATGAAAGATTCTTGTGGAGTTTTTTTTTCAAATTCAAAAGGGTTTCTTTTGCAGTTACAATAATGACAGCAAACGTGACTCGATCTCTGCCAGCGATGTCGTCGACTATCTCCGGGAGTTCAGCAAGGGAATGATGAACGAGGTCAAGTCGGAGATCCGCGATGCTGTGAATGCCGTGGACGAGATCATCTCGCCGGAAGGTGGTCTAGGCTCGCGCAAAAATTCCCCACCGGACATCCTCAAGGGCAACTCGGCCGGCGGCGGTGGTGGCCATAGACTGTAATAACTCACTTAACCCCTACTCATACATACACGCACCAGAGAAAAAAAAACAGAGATATCCCCTCACTTCGTTAATCTAGGCTAAATGCACTCTACTAACCCAGTTCGAAAATTTTCTCCTCTCTTCCGTACCCTTTTCCCGTTCGAAACCTTCCACAGCTTCATTAAGCAGCGCTACAGTGATATTACGCCGGACATCAACCGGCCAAAGTCCGCCGATATCGACAAACACCGGTCGGAATCGTTCCCTCGGCCGAACTCGTCCATCTCATCCACGGCTGCCACGGCGCCCAGTCCGGAACACTCCGGACCGGGCTTCCCCTACACCGGTGCCATCGCGAAAAAATCAGATCTCACCTCGTCCATGTCTTCCCAGGACTCCGGAATCAATATGAGCTTCACCGAGCAGGACGACAAACTTCGGGCCGCCGTCATCAATGATAGGTAATATAGACCCTCCACCCCCCACAGGACATTCCTTCGAAACTGACCCTTTACAACCCTCTAGAAACCGCACAATTTCAGCACACCTTGAGTCAGACTCATCAGCACGTCAGCAAATCCCCCCGCGACGAGTCCAGTCGGAATCCGCTGCACCCTTGAGTGATTCGGCTCCGGATCCGGAAACTCCGGAATCGCATCCAGGGCGTCTTCCAACCACCCCGGAAGTGGATGTTTACACCCCGAAAAGCGTGACCCTGACCCGCCAGTCGAACGTGATGAAAAGCTCGCCCTCGCAGGAATTCGACTCGGACGCAGCTCCGGAGGGCGCTCGGTGGCTCAATCTCCCGAAGGAGATCTGGAAACAGGCAGCCGAGGTTAATGACTAAATTTTCCTAACGCATTTGTGGTGGCTTGCACGATCCGTACTAATAGCACCGGAATCAACAAAAACTCGAAAGAAATCAAATTTACTAATAATTGGTCATTAACACCCTCTGATGTCCTGCTTGCGCATTCGTCTAACGTCCTAAGCTCCCTCACACCAAATCATAAAAATCAACCACAAACTAACAAACACACACAGTTCCTTTAAATTAAAGCCTTGGAAAAGTAAAACAATTGGCTATTGTTTGGTTGGTAGCGGTTTAACATTCGGAACCAAATAGGCTTATAATCGCTTCTCCTGTTTCTCTTTCTCTTTCTTTTCTCCCAACTTCGAAGATGTTTCGCGTCTAGTGGTAGAATGGTTCAAGTTTTAAGAAAGCAACGCAAACAACTTAAACACACTTACGCAGAGTCTTTTTTCTTCTATTTGACTAGTTTTCGTTAGTTCCTACCTTCATTAAGAAAAAGAGTTTATCGAAGAGTTTGTTGCAATTGTGATTTCCTATTAGAGAATATTAACCGAGTAACTGTGTGCGCGTTGAATGTGTTAAATCAGCATACAAAGATTTATCAAAGCAACAATAAAACACTATCCTTGTATAAATATAGTTAAACCTAGTTGTTTCTATTTGTCACATCTTTCGGTGGCGGGCGAAAAGCGATTGACCTCGATTGGATGAATGAGACTTAAGTTTCAACCGAAAGGTCGATTGCTTTCTGCGTGCAATCTTTAACCCCTGCTCTCTCTCTCTCACATGCGTCTCTATTGGCCAGAGCTCTAAGCCTGGAAGGAACTGTGCTCATCGGTGGTTGGCCAGCACCAAAGGTGTTCATTGCTCGTTCGTGATAACTACTCTTATGTTGGTTGATGGTTTATGGTAGCAGGCAATTGACTCTACATTTATCATCGTATTCTTAGTCATTCTCGCGAGAATTTACTTTAATTACTCTCCTTAGTTGTCTTTACAATTCGCTTGGAATATTCTTCTCTTGGTATTCGCGCCCAATGAGACCAACCCAAATTTGAGTTCTGCTTACTAATAATCGCAAAAAGTGCAGGAGCTCAGCGATGCGTAGATTGCCTCATGTATCTGCCGGAAAATGAGGAAAATTGACGAAAATTTTACTCAGCCTAGGAGTAGTACTAATAGACTGAGATAATCCAATCTTTACTTTTCTCATATTCGGGAATTTTCTCCTGAAAAAAAAAAATTGGAAAAACATGAGGCAAATTTACTCATCGCTGAGTTCCGGCACTTTTTGTAATTTATGAATAAACTGAACTCAAATTTGGGACGATCTCATCGGTTTTTTTATCCTCTGTTCGGGACATAACACCACTGCGACCAGTGATTTGATCTATTGTAGTATATCCCGTGTCCTTAGTTTAGTGCATGTCGTATTACTCCATCTCTATTGAGAAATGATTCTATTCGAGTTTTTTTACTGTTGTCATTCTCGCATTTATCGCAAGGATCCGACTCTAATTGAAAGTTCCCGCTATCTATACTCTTCGGAGTGTTGAAACACCCTCCAAAGGCGCGCCCATTTGTCAGTCAAAATTGTATTCCTTAGCAGCAAAATTAAGGAATGACACCGATAATGTCCATGCATCAGAACCCTAGTCTTAACCACTTCAAACTAGGAAACAACTAATAGAAGATTAGGAATCACATAGATGAAGACTAACGAACTCAATTTTACTTGTTTCAAGATCATGCTCGGTGGACAAGGCATAAAAAGTAACAAGGACTAAGATATATTCCTTTGATTACTGAAAAATCCTGTTCCTCAAGTTTGAAGTAGTGAGGACTAGGAATTGGTGGTAGATCTTACATCCCATAACGTACCACGAAAAGATGATCTACCCGCTTTACTTCCCTTCCGAGATCGTATGCCTTAGAAAATCCCGACGGCGGGATTGATCCCAGGCCCTTTGGAGTGAGATGCAGCCACGCTTACCACTACACCACCGGCGCCGCTAACAAGTCTGTTGGACGTAGACGACGAATGCGAACGACCTAAATTTGAGTGCAGGTACTCAGCGATGATTAAATTTGCCTCATGTTTTTCCAGGAAAAAAAATTCCCGAAAATGAGAAAAGTAAAGATTTTATTCACTCAGTCTATTGATACTACTCCTAGACTGAATAAAATTTTCGTCAATTTCCTCTTTTTCCAGCAGATTTTTGAGCTTTTCCACAGGAAACCACGAGGCAAATTTACTCATCGCTGTGTTCCTGCCCTTTTGGTGATTATGAGTGAACTAAACTCAAATTTGGGTCGTTCTCATTCGTCGTGTATGTTCTCTGTGATTTGGGTTCAGCTCGTTAATAATGCTCTGAGCTTTTTGACCACTAGTCGATCAGACTTTACCCACTATCCGACGTAGAAGCTTTTTCTCTCAGTAACAACAAATCAAAGAGAGTAACATCAATGTGAGAGAGAGAGAAAGAGAGTAATCAATCGAGAAAAAGAGGCATGAGAGAAACCTCTCACCGGTCACTTCTCACCTGACCGTCGGCAAATCGAGTGAGTCTTCTCGCAGATCAGTGTGCCACCTGGCGGTGAAGGTGGGACACCATTTCCATGCTTTTTGTGCCCGAGCAGAACTATTTTCAATTTCAATCTCATGAAAACGAAAACATTGTAAAATATCAACGAAATACGACGACCCGGTAAATGGAAACTAACATTCTCAACCCAAACAAATCATACCAATCTCCTCGGTGGAAGCAGAGGAAGATCTTCATTTTGCCTGTAACTACATCGAGCTGCCAGATTGGAATAAGGAAATGACTTGCATGCGTTAAATTTTAGGCCCTCGACGATTTCGATATGCTCAAGGACGGAGACCGCGTCATGATCTGCCTATCCGGTTCCAGTTCCTCGCTCTGCCTGGTGCACCTGCTGAGACAGTTCATCCGGGCCCGCAACCTCAGCAACGTCCAACTGGCCACAGTAACCTTCGGCGACTGCGGAGTTGATCCGCGCGCCCTGATGCTGTACCTGCGGGAGCTGGGCGTCGAGTTCTTCTACGAACAGAAAGGTTTGTCCGTTCCATTCAGACTTAGGTCGTTCTAGCTAACTGCATGTGTGTACTTTTTCGTCAGAAACCCCCGAGAACCTGCAGGAGAAGGTAATCACTGCTGCTCAGCGCCGCGGTTACAACGTCCTCGCCATGGCCAACACGCTGGATAAGCTGGCCGACCGCTTTCTGATGTCGGTGCTATACAAAGGTAAACTCAACTCGCTGCAAGCCGTCAGCACCGGTGGGCACATCAGAATCATCCGACCGCTGCTCTACATCCGCGAGCGAGCCCTGGAGGACTTTGCCGTGTCGACGGCTCTGCCGACGAGACCATCGCACCTCTTTACGCACCCGCCGGGCGCGGTCCGCAGTATTATGCGCGTTCAGGAAGCCACCAATCCGAACGTGTACGGGAACATTCGCAGTGCGCTGAAACCATTGCTGGCGTTGAGGTTTGTATTTGCATATAAGGCCTGCCAGGGAGATAGTGTTCCTACTGATTGCGATAACCTTTACAGGGTGGAGTCAACAAAGTCGACGTACCATTCGCTGAGGGCATCGCTCGACACTAGGGAATAACACGAGGGGCCTTGCATCGCAGTACAACCATAGAATTACGAGTTATAAGATGCTAATCTAGTTAGGATAACTAATTGTCTTTTTGGGGAATTGCACGATGTGTTTGAAAAATTAGTTGTTACTGTAGCTATCCAAGTGATATAAAACAAGAAGATTATTTTATACGATGTTTTACTAATTAATGTGTCCACAATACTGTGCGAAATAAATGAGAAAATTGTATAGGTTCAAAAACCATTGCGTGTTCTTATAATAATGTGCTTAGATCACATCTAAGCTGACCTTTCGATTGATTCATTGGCGTCCAACATTAGGCACGGTTCCTGGAATGTAATGACTTTCTAATCATTTCTCTTTGATAAGTTAGGCAATTCTGTAAGTCCGATTGTGCCATTTGAAGTACTTCCTTAAACAAATTTTAACTTCCACGAAGTGCCTTCCGTTAGAATATCTAAACTATTCTATAAGGTCCCTCTGAACCTCAGAATTTTGTTTAAGTTCTTTGAACATGTCCAAAAACACCTGGAACTTTTCTGCGGCTCTTTAAATTGCCTGGAGTATTCTAAGTTTGCTAGTAGGGGAAGACAGGGACAGACCGCCACCCTAAGCAATAATTTGAGTAGCTCAAATTGAGCAAGAAATTTCATATTTTGCTATGCTACATATGAATAAACATTAATTTATCTATGGATAACAATATAAAATTTTCTGATTTATCACATTATTTATGCTTTTTCATAAATTTTTGGAACGATCAAAAAATACTCGTTCTTTTACAAGCGAGGTAAGGAGGACCATAACGGATTTTTCGACAACCATTGCACAAAATTAAACGCAACAAGCACAAAGATCATAAGTGAATATTTTTGGAATCGGTCAACTGGCTATGGCAGGTACAGGTTCCAGTGATCATAAGTCCTATGAGGACAGATCTAGAAATGATCAAAAACTATACAAACCTATATTTTGACACATCAAATCGGATGATAATTATCGAAATCCATCATTCGACACGTCAAATCACATGAGAACTCTAAAAAAATGTGGTGATTAAATTGAGTATGGTGGTCCACATTGGCCACTCACGGACATGTTCCGGATATCACCCGGGAGCCAAACAAAATTGATTTTATTGTGGGAATGTAAATAAATAAGAATGGTCATATCTCACCATAGATGCATGAATCCAGGTTTTCATGTTTGGTTATAGCTAAAAGAAATCAATGTTACTTAATACTTGATCTGGAAAAACATCATTTCAGTTTCAATCAATGTCATAAAGAAGGGTGACGGTTTTACCAACCGGTGGAAGCTAACGATTTAAAATTGACTCACTACATGACTAGCCTATTGGTCCCAAACAAATCAAATAACCTACTCCATTCTAGTCAAAATTCTAGTACTACACTATGTTTGTTTTAATTCACTATGAAAGCTTGACAGATAAAATGAGGGGTTCATTCCACATCGAACGCTCGACTGTTTCGGTCAAGTATTGCTTGCACTCCGTAATCGGTACTAGTTTTTTTCCCCTATTGAGGTTTTTTTTTTTCAATCCGCTTTCATACTGAGTGGTGTTGTAGTATACAACAGTGCAGTGAGCATCGCGGAATTGTAATTGCCGCTCAATCGTTCGAGAAAGGAAGCAGTCATTTCCGGCCGAGTCCGGCAGATGAGCTGTTCATCTTTAGCCAACAAATTTCATCGCATCACGCCACTGCAACATCAAGGTCATCGAGTTCACCAGCCGGCGAGCCACCCGGTGCTTTGTTGAAAACACTCGAGGGCAACAATAGAACGATCATCACCATCATTCTCACATCAGGATAGATCATCGTCATCAGCCACACTCCGTGCGCTTGTGTGGAGAGTTAAGTAACAAACGGTTATCTTCCGTTCTCCGCAACCTGATTAATCTCCATACAGTGTTGATTAACTTTTCTGACACCTTTTTGTTTTTTCCTGAAAAAGTTTTCATTTTTTTTTTTCTTTTTTTTTTCATTTACTGTTTTTTTTTTTTGCAAGTTGATTAATCTCCCTATAGTGTTGATTAACTTTCCTGGCACTTTTTTTTTCCATTTTAAAGGTTTTTTTTTTCTTTTTTTTGCTTTGTTGGATTAAGTATTATTTTTACCGTTATATTTTTTGGATAAGTTTATTTATTTTTTCTTATTTTTTTTAGTTATTATTTTTTTTTTTATTTATTTTTTTTTTTCTTAACGCATATATATATAGGTATATATATATATATATATATTTCCTTTTTTATGTCGAAATCTGTTGCGGAGGTACTTAAGACCCCGCAATGGACGAAACCAATGATGGCGGGGGTATTTCGCTAGCAGATATCTCCGATGATGAGTCTGTTAAATCTCCATCATTCGAAAATCTGCTTCTCACTGAAGAGGAAATGGATACCTCAGGGGATTCTACTTCGGACCCCAAAACGAGCACTGGAGCTTACCCAAAGGTGATGTCTAAACAACAACCTCCTTCACCCCCTGCCCCCCCTTCTCCACCATCGCCCCCTCGTCCACCTGTTCCCCCTACTCCAACCGTTCCCTTAAAAATTTCTGCGACCCCCCGCCATAAAGCTTACCCAAGCGACTCAAAAGGTCCGTGGGTTGTTTTTTTCCGGCCCAAACAAAAACCTTTGAATATTTCTCGGATTTCGAAGGATCTGACAAAACATTTTTCGGCCGTAACCGATATCTTTAAGGTAACGTCAAACAAACTGCGCGTTACCGTTGATGACCTGAAACAGGCAAACCGGATTGTTGCCTGTGAGCTTTTTTCGATCGAATATCGAGTCTACGTCCCCAGTTGTGACGTAGAAATTGAAGGAGTGGTCACCGAATCGAGTCTGACTTGTGAGGATTTCCTGCAAGTCGAATCTTTCGGCATTTTCAAAAACCGTGCCCTCCCGAAAGTCAAGATACTGGACTGCATTCAACTGCAGTCAGTGTCGCACATAGGCACAAAAAAAAAGTATACCCTCTCAGATTCGTTTCGTGTGACCTTTTCAGGATCGGCATTACCTGACTACGTCACAATTGGGAAGGTTCGACTACCTGTACGCTTGTTTGTACCGAGGGTAATGAATTGCTTGAAATGCAAACAACTAGGTCACACCGCGGACTTTTGTTCCAACAAACCGCGGTGCGATCAATGTGGGGAGGAGCATACGGAGGGTCTTTGTCATGCTACCCCAAAATGCGTTTACTGTAAGGATGCTCCGCATGCTCTGAGTGATTGCCCGAAGTACAAACAGCAGGGAGAAAAACTAAAGCGGTCTTTGCAAGCTCGCTCTAAGCGCTCGTTAGCAGAAATTTTAAAAACGACCGCTTCATCTTCCCAAACCACCCCAAAAAGCAACAACACATTCCACCTCCTGCCAGATGATGATCAGGGCTCTGACTCAGAGGTGGGTGAGAGTAGTCCTTTTGTCTTTAATGGCAACACGAGGAAGCGGTCCAAAATAAACGTCACCCAAAAACCTCGTAAGGCCTCTCGTATGGACTACCAACCTACCTTGACAAATTTAAGAGGTAGCGGAAATGTACCGAAACCCCCACCACTGGGATTTAAATCTTGTAATTTTAACAAGGACTTTCCGCCACTTCCGGGATCATCTAAAACCCCAGATATCCCAGTTTTTCAGCCAGAAAAACAGCTGAATAATCAGCAAGAACATGATGCCATGTTCACGTTTTCTGAAATTGTGGAGAGCATCTTCAATATATTCAACGTCTCTGACTCAACTCGGAACATTATTAATTTAGTGCTTCCATTCGTGAAAACTCTTTTGAAGCAACTAGCTTCTAGGTGGTCCTTCCTTGCATCGATCATATCCTTTGATGGATAATTTTCCGAATGAGGTCGGGGATATGATCTCTGTTCTTCAGTGGAACTGTAGAAGTCTTATACCGAAACTTGACACATTCAAATTTTTAGTTCACAACTCACTTTGTGATGCATTTGCTCTTTGTGAAACATGGCTTTCTTCAGACACCGATCTCCCTTTCCACGATTTTAACATTATTCGCCATGATCGAGCAGATTCGTATGGAGGGGTGCTTCTCGGGATTCATAAGCTCCATTCCTTTCATAGAATCGATCTGCCTTCCGTGACAGGCATTGAAGTTGTCGCATGTCAGGTAAATATTCGAGGTAAAAGCCTCAGTATTGCCTCAGTATATCTTCCTCCAAGAACTGCGATTTCTCGCCAAGGTCTCTCAGATATCTGCTCAGCTTTATCTGAGCCTCGGTTGATATTAGGAGATTTTAACTCCCACGGTACAGGCTGGGGGGAACTGTACGATGACAACCGCTCAACCCTGATATACGACCTTTGCGATAACTTCAATATGACAATTCTAAACACTGGGGAAGTAACACGAGTGGCCAAACCTCCAGCAAGAGAAAGTAGATTAGACCTCTCCCTCAGTTCGAGTTCACTATCGTTGGATTGCTCGTGGAAAGTAATTCAAGATCCCTACGGTAGTGACCACTTGCCAATCAAAATTTCTATTACCAATGGTTCATCTTCCACTCGCTCGGTTGACATCGCGTACGACCTCACGAAAAACATCGACTGGCAAAAATTTGCGTCCGCGGTTCTCGGTGGTACTGATTCGGTTGACATACTCCCTCCGCTGGATGAGTACTCCTTTTTATCGCGACTTATCGTTGACTGCGCTCTTCAAGCACAGACGAAACGCGTTCCGGGTGTTTTCGTTCGCAAACGACCTCTCACTCCGTGGTGGGATAAGGATTGCACCGACGCGAACAGCGAGAAGTCCGCCGCGTTTAAACGCTTCCGCAAACACGGTTAGGTCGAGGATTTCGAGCGGTACACCGACCTCGAGAAAACTTTTAAGAGCTTGATTAAAGCCAAAAAACGCGGTTACTGGCGTCGGTTCGTCGATGGTTTGTCGAGAGAGACTTCGATGAGAACACTCTGGAATGTCGGCAGGAGAATGCGCAACGCGTCATCACCGGTCAACGAAGACAAGGAGTACTCAGACAGTTGGATATTCAGCTTCGCGCAGAAAGTTTGCCCGGATTCGGTGTCGGTTCAAACCAACGTTCGTGATAGTCCGTCGGGTAGTAACGAAATAGATTCTCCGTTTTCGATGGTGGAATTCTCACTTGCTCTCCTCTCATGTAACAACTCAGCTCCAGGAATGGATAGAATCAAGTTCAACTTGCTTAAAAATCTCCCAGACGTCGCGAAGAGACGCTTGTTGAACTTATTCAATCAATTTCTTGAGCG